AAAAATTCATGGATCCGCCCCTGCTGAAATATCTTGTTTTACCCCAATGACACTAATACAGTTATATCAAAATTACTCCGTTCACGATACGGTATTGTACCGCCGCGAGACTTGAAGACCACTTAGAGCTGTGCCCTGCTGGTTGGCGTATGTACATACCTGTTTTCGTCATGCAAACAAAGGGGGACCTCGCAGGGAGTAACTTAAATTTTCAAAGGGAGGCTACGTCAAAGTAATGAGTTTCTGTGCGCCTTGCATGAAGTGGCTCATACCGCTGTTGTATCTTGTCTATCGCCGAGCTTTTAGGAATGCGGCGAGCGGGACCGCTAAATAAAGTGTCTAACAGTGGAAAAGATTACTGGATGAAGAAAGAGATCAGGAGTTGGACTCTTAAAAGCAGTAACGTAATTTACAGAGCACTTCTAGATTTTTACACTGATAGAAGCTGATAAACAATTTTCTTGGGTTATAATACTGAGAACTGGTCCTTGAAGTGGTAATAACAGAGGCGTGGTTTAGCTTTTAAGCTGAAATCACAAGTTATCATCATGTAGGTATTTGCTTAGACAGGGCCTAGTTTAACTTGCAGTCATCCTTAGGAATATAGTTTTTCTATGCTTGGGTGCACGGCGTAATAGGGTAAGGAGAGTGAGAGAATCCTGTGACCAGGGGCAAGTTTTAGAGCTGAGTGGCCTAGCTAGGAATATTCCACCCCCCTTTACTCACCTCTGTATTGGATACCAGTCTGCCACAGGTTAAGGCTTAGCATTTCGCCATATTTTCCTGGCAGTTACCTGTACCCAGTTATACTTGAAGGTCTGATTATTCAAAGCTGGGTTAAGGTAACTCAAGGTTAGTGTGAAATTTCATTTCATATCTGAAAGCTTTAAAAGAAAATTCAGTTTAAATCTTTTTTGTCTACAATTTGATGATTGGATGTTTTAAAAAGAAAAAAGAAAATTTTCCTAAAAAGGCTTCTGAACAGAGAAATGTTGAAATGCGGATTAAAATTTAACCCTGGGTTAGTGCTAATCGGCCTTCTAACAACTGGGCCTTCAAGTGGAGAGATGTGCTGAGAGAGTAAAGTGTCTTGCTAACAAACACTGCAAAGTGATGCAACCAACAGACCTTGCACTCTAGGGCTGCATCATACTAACTACCCTGTCCCTGAATCTAACAATACCATTATACAGTGCCTCAACATTGACTCTCCTGCTATGAGTAATCATGGAAAAATGTGTTGTTTTTATTATTACAACTGAATCACCCCCAAAAATCTTAACGCTTGAATTTCTCTACATGATACAATTGCTGTATCAATTTACAATACATCATTGAACGGCTGCAGGCAGCAGTTTATGACAAAACTTATTCATTTGAATTTATCTTACGATCACTCAAAATTAACTGTCATTTACATGACCACTAGCTACTTATTACACTATAAATAAATGTTTCAAATACTTGTCAGGTTTGGTTAACCAGTGTTTCTTTTTTCCGGACAAACAGCATAGTGCACAGCAATAGTGCTTGTACTGTTCAAACGAGGCAAAATATATTGGAATTACATGAAATGTCAGTATCAAATGCACCATTTTTCAAGCAGCAATCTTGGCCTCACACTGGTGTGACTTGTATGTTGGGGAAAAAAAATTTATGCTCTAGTAATTTAAGGTTTAAAATACTTTTTAACATTTTTGCAGGATGTCACTCCCACTTTATATTAAATGTGCGACATTATACACCTGTTCTTGAGCTTACTAAATAATATTTAAGCCTCATTGCATTTAGGCTGGTTTTCACTGACGATGTTAAGTGTGCGTGGTATTACACCCACAGACATTTTGTACTCTGTCAATTCACATGTAAATCTGGACAATTCATTCCCACTTTGTGTCAATTCCCATGGATCTACTGGACAATTCATACCCATTCCAACATTCAGTGATGATCACAACCCAAAACATCTCACAAAATATGGGTATGGGAACATGCATAAGCACATGAAAAGATGTCACTTATTGCATACGATTAGTTATTAAAGAGTCAAGCCCGTAAAACAGATAAATTTCTGTTGAGTACTTGTGAACTTCTTAGCAATAACAAGACCAGATTCTACAGTTTTGTTTCCAGGCCTTAAATTTGGGGTATTTGCATATTTAAAATGAACACTACATTAACAAAACTTATTTAACACAAATGATGCTGATACTTAACATGGGAAACCCACTTTTCTTTTCACATATCTAACATGGAACACATACTTAAATAAATATGGGTACAAAAAGACCAAACTGACTAAGTATCAGTGGTCCAAGCTGGACACTAATCCACTGAGTATGAAGCATCTGTGGGTACAAAATGACTGGTAAACATTTTCAGCCCATGATAATCATTCAGGGAACAATATTTTTCTCCTTTGCCCCTGGGCAAAGAAACCTTTAACACAAAGGTGCCAGTTCTACATTACGTACTCTTGGTGTCGGCAATATCCTTCAAGTTTGCTGGTGTGTTTGTAACTTTATAAAGAGCAGGATCTGACTTCTTTCCTGTGATTTAACAGTTGTCTATTCCATTGGTTTCTAGGTTACAATCCTTGTGTTTTGTAGAACTTTGGTTGTCGTTATTCAATCTCAGCCATTTTGTTTAGGAATGTCATCTCATCAATGAAAAGCTTGAGTTTGCATTGTAGGTAACAACATTGACGATATCACCTTTTGGAATATAATGACTGCTGGCATCCAAGGTGTTATCAAAAAATCCACTCTCTTCATAAATCTGCAACACAAACACCACAGACAAAACAATGTCAACATTCACTTTCTTAGCCCTTTAAATCCAAAGATCTGATTGTCAATTCTCCCCTCTAACTGCTACACATTTCCTCACAAATCAGTTCTAAGAATTTGGGGTTATATCAAGGCAACAAGCTCTACCAGATAAAATTAATTTGAGAATTCTCAATACCTCTTTGTTGGATAACGTATGGATATTAAAGGGAGAAGTTACATGTTAATCACCTCTGGAAGTTTAAGGGTTTTAAGTATTATATTTTGCCTTCCTTGAACCCTCCACTCCCAGTAGTAACAAAACTGCAATTTCTCCCTACACCATGTTGTATTTTCCACTGGCTGAGGAACAAAATAAGTGGAAAATGTTTTCTCACACACCTCTGGGTCCTGGGTCCGAGGGTTAGTTTTTGAGTCACGTGCTCAGTATACTTTATCAGTTGCTGTTTTGCTGTCCGCCATTGCTGACATGTATTTTTAAGCCCCAGTTTCCACCCAACCCTTAGTTTGAGTTGATAACATACACTCTGTTGGTTAGATATTCTTTATTAAGACTGTCAGCATAGAGTCTTTCTAAGCTTGTAACTGTTTTTTAATATTACATATTTTTATTACTGTATGTGGCCTACATTACGTTTAAACCTAGGCTGTATTTGGTTTGAGAAATAAAAGAGTCAGTTGATGGTGGTCAACTGGACTATGGCTCTCAGGGGTGTGTGAGAAGAGTATTTTATACTAGCAGAAATTTAAGGAGAAAAAAGAGAAATATCACATAGGGGAAAATCATTGATTTAACATCACATTCTCCGAGATAAAATCACGAGAAATGATAATCAGACTGCTCAAAAAATTGATATTATAATAATAAACTTTATTTAACAAAGATTACACAAAGCAGTAAATATACTGGAAAACCAGTGGCCCTCAAAGAGACAGCCATTGGAACTTGAGAATCTAGGGATCCAAATTTCAACATTTGAATCAAATTTAATCCACACTCTCCTATGTATGAAGGGGGGAGGGGAGGGTGGGGGGCAAGTTTCTTGAGAAATTGTAATTTGGTTTTGTCACCTGAATTGATGAAGCGAGTTAGCTGTCAATGGAGAGTTTCTACTGCTGACTTCCTCAGGCTTTTGCTCTAATGAAGGACTAATGCTCAAATTGTCTAACTTTGGTAGCCAATTTTTATCATCAGCTCTGTTTGTAAAATCAAGTTATCTTTTAACTTTCCATGTAGATTATTTGTACTTGATTCTTGGATTGCCCAGATTAGATTTGGCAAACTTAACTGATTTAAACCTTAACCTTTACAATTGCCTGCTTGAAAAAGGTTCAAGGGTATCAAACTTTGAAGTTTGGAGCATGCCTCTTGACTTGGACTTTGGGATGCTCAAATTAAGCCTGACAATTTTTTTTATAATTGTCATGTTGATCTTTTTAAGTAATGAAAGGATTAAGCTTTAAAGAAGTCAAAAGTTTAGGTTGATCTGGGCTTCAGCCAACATAAAATGATATATAACATTCTTTATTTTGAGCACAACAGGCAAAGAAAAATTTTCAAACTAACAGAACAATCCTTTTAATTACTTGTTGAATTTTCAAGAATTCCAAATGATTCTAGGCAGCAATGCTAAAGAGGTAGTACAGGGGTAAAAGTTAACAAGTTACTTCCTGAAAAGGAGAACATTGCAATCCTTCTCAGTATGATATAGAGTCAGAGTCCAGTTCTCCTCCCCAAAAAAATTTATAAACACACAAAGTAAACACTCAACTGGATACAGTCATAATGACACGTGTATCCCTGTGCTACGCCGCCACGGCACTTACACCTTATTACAAAATATAGGTATTTTAAATAATTTATAGAGCGAAGTAAGATAATTTGGCGATTAGAAGTAGGGTTTGTGAAACACTTGCATTGTAACAATAAATTGATAAAGACATAGCGTGATTAAACATTCGAAAAGACGGGTGGAAATGTTGTGATATTTTTTCGTATTCTCCTTTCTGTTTGAGATATTAAGTACACATATTAACAATATTACGCACTCAGGAAGTTGGGCCTCAAATGGGATTACAAGCTTTAAAGCGATCCACAAATAAAACAGTTGTTTCTTACGCTCCGTTCGCGATAAAACAACTGCGTGTTAACTAAATCGAAGGATAAATAATTAGCACTCAAAGAAACGAAAGCTAAAGAATCCGAAACGAAGAAATTCGATATCGAAACAAAAAGTGGAGTTACATTTATAATTTTATTAGATAAAAAAATACTACGTTTGAGGGTTGAAGTAATTATCGAAGAACTTTGAAGTAACTGTCTGTAGCTGTTAATCTTGCTATGAACTAAATACGAGTTAACGCGCAACAAAATTAATAAGACGAGTTCCAAACTACGGTCCTAAACGGAACTAGTTCGACACAAGGAAAAAATGATTTGAGGTGAACTCAAGAAATCATAGATATAAGATAAGCATTCCTTTACTCACCTGTAATCTCCAGAACGTTAGTGATGAATGAAGGAACAATAAACCAAGTGCAAAGCTCGATACAAACACGATGAAGAAATGGAGAAGAACTACGCGATCGAACCTAAAACAAAAGAACACAGATTATCAGTCATCTGCCAAAATAATAACTTGTACTTATCTCATTACTGTCTTACTTGCTAGCCGTATCCCCGCTTGTATTTGTACAGGCAGAAGACGAATTGTCATCAGAAACTTTCCTTTCCCGTTCAGCCATTTTGCAATTGTTGTTGATGACTGCCTTCACTCTGATTGGTTGGGAGGTTTGGTTCTACTTCAACGAAGTTCCTGCTCAGCGGTCCACTTCAAAAACTGACGTAATGCACAATCTCGAGCCCAGGGTACTTAGCAGCGGTAAGATTTCTAAGAAATGTTACAATTCGTATATTTTACACCACATTGAATATTTCTCAGATTATGCGGTATTTGTAGTCAGCGGAAAGGATAACAAAAAATGGCGCCTATTTCGCTAAAAGATCCAAATATACAGACACTTGCCGAAGAGTTAGTGAAAGAGCTGACCAGATTTAAGGTGATTGGTGTCTTCTTCATGGCAAACAAAATATGAAATTATATTTCTGAAAGTAAATCGATTTAATTTTTTTCAGAGATCTTCAAGAAATTTTACCCTCTCTGTCCAGTTTGTCTTATCAAACTTTCGGTGAGTTGAAACAAAGTTCTATTATATGTTAATAATAATATTAATAGCTAGGTCTCATTCCGTGGTACATTAATAGGGCGCAAATTTCATGAAGAATTCAATAAAAACAAGAAAGGGTTTCAGGAGTTACCTCAGTATAATTATTGGCTTGAAGAAGGCCGTGGTTTATATTGTAAAAGATACTTGACCAGATTAAATCCAAAGTAGCTAAGGCTGGAAACAATAAGATTTTCGATGTAGTTATATGTTTCAGACCCTTTATTGTCTTCAGTGCGCTTACTTCACAGGTATCATCAGTTTTTGGATGTCAATAGCCAAAAAGTGGAAAGAAATATTGATGGGTGAGTTAGGGGATGTGTTTGAACACAAAATTTCTTAAAATGTTGATAAATTGTGTAGCTGTGTAATTGATTATATCAAAGTTCAAGCAAGTATTATGCTCATGTAGTTTTGAATTGAACACAGGAAATATATGGGGTTTGACCAAACCATCCCTGGACCCACCTTAGTGAGCTAGTCGTAGATTTCTTTGAATTTTAACTTAGAAATACTTAAAAGACATTAACTTAGTAGCACCATTTGATAATAAACAAATTTTCAATGTAGAAACATACACAAACTTAAACAAGAAATGAGATGTGGCACTGGGTTCATTCATAGGTATTTAATTTGCTTGAATCTTATCAACAGTGTTTGCCAGAAGTTGAAAGTTCATTCTCAGTTGGAGAAGGCAGACATTTTGCAAGAATTATGCGACAAATTTCTGAACTTGCCTTTAACTACACAGACCCAGGAACTTATAAAGGTACATTTTATTTTCAGAGTAGTTTATTCAGAATTTTTTGTTAATTAGCTGATGTGATATCATAGTAACACTTACAGGTAACACTTAACCCTATGACACCTGATAGTGACCAGCATCTAATTTCTCCGCCTCCCGGTTAGCTCAATGGATAGTGCGCTGGATTGTTGTGCGGGAGGTTGAGGGTTCGAGCCCCAGCCGGACCAACACTCGGGGTCTTAAAATAATTGAGAAGAATATGCTACCTTCCAATAACATCAAGAAATGGTTAGATATTCTAAATAATTTGGATATATCAACAAAGTTGAAATGGTAAATTGGCCAC